ATATCAATATTTATACTCCTTCTAAAGAAAGGTTACCCAACAGAATCCCGAAATGATAGAAAAATATCATTGCTATCACATGTCTGTAAACTTGTCCTGAAGATCGTGACAATGGCTGCGGCAGGACACTGACAGGGAGGGAGCTGCCCGAGGCTCAGGCCAGATTCAGAAGAAGACATGGAACAAGGGATATCATTGCTGAAGTCAGATGGACTTTGGCTGAAAGCAGAGAATACTATAGATGTTTACTGTGTCTTATTGATTATGCAAAGGCATCCGATTTGTGGGCCATAGCAAACTATGGATAACCTTGAGAGAATGGGAATTCCAGAACACTTATACGTGGATCAGAAACAGTTGTGTGAACAGAAAAAAGGAATACCATATGGTTTAAAATCAGGAAAAAAGTGTGTCAGAGTTGTATCCTCTCACCCTATTTATTCGATATTTATGTGGAGCAAATCATCCGAGAAGCTAGGTTATATGAAGAAGAATGTGGCATCAGGATTGCTTGTGAACAACATGCTATATTCATATGACACACTTTGCGAGTTGAAAATGAGGAGGATTTCAGGCACTCGCTCATGAAGAGCAAAGACTGAAGCCTTCAGTATGGGTTGCAACTCAATGTGAGGAAGACTCAAGTCCTCACAAATAGACCGTCGATAGGTAACATCATGATCAATGGAGAAAAGGTTGACGTTGTCAAGGATTTTCTCTTTGTTGCATCCACAATTAATGCTCATAGATACAGCAGTTAAGACATCAAAGGATGTATTGCACGAGGTAAATTTGCTGCACAAGATCTCTTCAAAAGCAAGGAGTTTACTTTGCAGACTAAGGTGCACCTGACCCATGCCATGGTGCTCTCCATTGCTTCATATGCATGTGAGAGTTGGATATTGAATAAGGAAGATCCACAAAGAATTGATGCATTTGAATTGTGGTGCTGGTAAGGAATGTTGAAAGAACCAGGGACTCCCAACAGGAAAAGCAAATTTTACTTGGAAGAACAGGCAGAGCCCTAATAAGGGGCAAGGATGGTGAGACTTCATCTTATATACTTGGGACATGTCAGGAGAGACCAGTCTCTGGAGAAATACATTCTGCTTGTTAAAGTGGAGGAGCAGCAAAAGGGAAAAAGAAAAGAAAAAAGGAAGGCCCCCCAATCAGACGGATGGACCCAGTGGCCGCAACAATGGCCCAAGCATGGGGACAATTGTGAGGACCAGTGGGACCAGGCGATGTTTCATTTTGTTTGCATAGGGTCTCTATGGGTGACAACGGGTTCAATGGCACCTCACACAGTGACATATGGAATAACAGGGTTCCAAAGAGTTCCATTTGAGATAAATTCTAAGGAATAGTCACATCTCTAATTTTAAACTCCTTGCTGACTTCAATTTATACTCTATTGACAATGCAGCAAATATGAATATTATGAAAACAACACATTGTTAAGCTGATCAAAGAACACATTTCAGCAAATCCAGGGACTGTGGTGATTGTTGTTTCACATTTCTCTATATTGCCATATATATTACCTTATTACTTCCTGAAATATAATTTGTAAGTTCAACAAGACAAATGACAATACCCGGTGAAATATTGATGGAAACCTTTACAAGTCTGATGAATTTCCTCTCATCTAATACATATAGGTAGCTTTGTTATATAATATAAGGCATTATGTTAATAAATTGAAGTCATGCCAGCAAGTCAGTCACACAAAAAGTATTTCATTCATCTAACTCCAATATGATTTAAACCAGCACCTTTCCAATTTTTCCCAGGTATATGAATCATTTGGGAATGTTATTAATGGGAAAATCTGGATTCAGTCCATCTGAACTGGGATCTGAGGTGTTGGGCTTAGCAACGTTCCCAGGTGCTGCTGAAGCTGCTGATTCGTGCTACACAGTGTTCAGGCAGTGAGGTTTTAAACCATTTCAGTTGGTTTATAAATATCATTTCCTTTTATAACTATCTAGATTAGAATACTATTGAAATACATAGATAGAAGCGTGGTGGGGGCAATTAGTTTATATCTTGTTCCTAAAAGGCCTGTTGGTTTGAACCCACCCTGGGTCATTCAGGAGGACCTGATCTCTTCCATTAAGATCACAGGCCCCAGAAGAGCATCCTGCTGTGCTACTTGGAGATAGGACCACCCTGCATGGCAGCCAAAAAAACCATAACATTTGAGAAGAGAAAGAAAAAGAAATGGGCGTGATCTGTAAGTAGCTCTTGAACAGACAAAAACACACAGCCGTTAGAAAAGTAGCATAGTGATATGGAAGTTGAATACATCAAAAACAGAATTCATTTTTTACATAAGAGAATCATTTATTACACAAACATTTAACATTTAAGCTGCCTTTGAGCTGCAAACTGAAAGAGCACAAGGTTCTAGTGGATACTTCACTCAAACATAAAATTAAGTTTTGCTTCTTCTTTTTTTGTTGTTGTTCTTTAGTTCAGCTCACGGCACACGAGGCAGGGAAAACCACTCACAGGCAATTGTGTGGATGCTTGCAGAAAATAATCACGGGCAGTGATTATTGAGAAAAAGTCCAACGTCCACTTAGAATGGTGACTAGGCCTAAAGAGCTGAGGGCAGGGCTGCATGCCATCACTCCTCAATGGACTTCAAACAGGAAAACTGAAAGTACACTCGAGCGAGGCAGCCCGTTGACAGAGTGAGTTTTAAGAGATAGCCAATTTAGTCATAGTATCATTATTTTTCTGGAAATAATTCCACTTTTTTTCTTCTTTCCCTGAAAACTGGGAGTGACAACAATCGTTGTCTGGCTTCTTGAAGCATGTATAAGCAACAACTAACGCTACCTCACGTGTAAATGAGTAGATGTTGATTTGTAAAAGTAAGTTTTAAACAATGACGGGGGGGTTGTGAATTTATACAAGCTGGAATGAAAATGTGTCTTTTCTAAAATGGTGAAGCTTTCCGATGGAATAAAGCATACAATTTCATCCATATACAATTACAAACCATCTTACGTTGACCATCGCTTGAAATCATCCACTTTCACAAGGGCAAAGCAAAAAGTCACACATTCGTTATACAGCCCAAAGTGCCATCCAAATCCCAAACCCTCACACCATTGCCAGTTCCATCCAGTCCATCCCCAATCCCACGGGAGTAGAGCATGTGTCTGTCTGTCTGTCTCTCTCTCTCTCTCTCTCTCCTTGGAGCAGTTGGTCCAGTTGAACTGCTGTCCTTGCAGCTAATAAATCAATAGGTTACTCCCCCTATGCCACCAGGTCCTTAGAACACACACCTCTACCCAAGTCTCAACTTTTCTTAAGAAAAAATTCTACTTCCCATTAAGGAAAGTACTGTATATACCTGAGTATAAGCCAACCCGAATTATCAGCTGAGACATCTAATTTTACCACAAAACCACATTAAAAATGTGTTGAAAAAATTGGCTTATACATGAGTATATATGGTATGTATATTTTCCTATAAATGTCTTTAATAGAATCCATTTGTCTTTGTACATGGACCATCTTTACCAATATCTACACTTTATAGAACTCCGAGAAAGGACACACTGAGGAACAATAAAGACAGGATATATTTGTATTTAGTTAAACTAAATAATCTTAAGGGCACATTAATCAAGATATCTTCCCTGATACCGAGAAGTCACATGTAGAAATCTTCATTTATTTTGTGTGAAGGTTTGTGATTTAATCCACTGATTGAATAAACCTTATGTGAGGTGTATGTGGATTTTCTCGCCCAAGTCTTTTGACCAGATTTTGCTTCACATAGCTGATCCCTCTGCATCTCAAGAATAAAGCAATGTCCTTGGTGTCCTTTTAGAATAACATACTCCCAAATATATGTAAGTAAAGATAGTGCTCTTTTATTTTGTTCATCAGGAAGAATGTCTAGAATATCACCTTGCATACCCCTATCTTAGAATCATCATTTTTACTCCTTCCAATTAAACGCCAAGGCACTCGCCAGCATGTTTTCAGTATCAACAGATTTTCACATCCCTCAAATCTAGAGTGCCTGGCTTCTGGATTTTCAATAAGATTTTTTCAGTGTTTACCCTGGCATCTTATACCTGGATACCAAATTCTCCTTAATTTCAGTGCCGATCGTCTCTAGATTATGAATGAGTTCCAATTCTAAATCAGAGTTTAAGCCAAATTTGTACATAGCCTGAACTGTTAAGTACAGTTTGTATCTAATGCCAATAAGTCAAATGTTTATCTTAGTATCTATATAGATATACATATACATATATATACACACGCACTATATGTACATATAGTATATGTATATATCATATACAGTCTATATGTGATATATAGTATACATATATAGTATATATAGTATATGTATATATAATCATATACAGTGTACATTTCTATACACTGAAGGCATATTAAACACTCCCAGTTACTTAGCAGTGATAATACTAATGATTCACAATGTTTTGATGTGTGTTGCAAAGTGGTGTTGATATGTTATTACAAACTATTGTATATACCTCCAATTTTTAATAGAATAGATGTTACAAGGCTTGATATATAATTACAGATTGAATGTAAATCAGATGCTTGTAACCCAGGACTGCCTATTCCCCAGTTACTTTCCTTTGTCCTGTATTCCTTTTGTGTGTGTGTAAAAGGACCCCGGCTATGTGCACTTATTATTAAATGTGAATTTAATAGTCTCTGCAATCAGTGCACCCATTAAAAAAATCAGGGTTCCCCATCAAAGGAAACAACTCCACTGCCTTGGCCTCAAGGTCAGCTGCAGTAAAAGATAAACCAAATATCTTTCCCACACTCAAATGGGCTTAGAAATTTCCTCCAGAAGACGTGGTCAAAAGTGAATCCAGAAATAACATTTGCAAAAGAATATGAATTCAGGAAGGTACGTGGATTAAGAAAGACCACTCGCAGCAGAGAGTAGAGCGAAGCTGGTGACACCACAGAAACGAGCCAAGGTACGGAAGTGCACGGAGGACCACATTTTAATAGTCGACGCCAGCCTCGCTGCTTGTACGAGGACTATGAGTGCACAGTCTCATCGCTGTAATCTGCTGCACAAGAATGCATCGATTACCACTTACATTTCTGTAAACTAGCACAGCGCTCTTCAGCATAAATTGCAACTGCGTGGAAAGGCCAAAGTCCGCTTAGATTTCCCTAACTGTTGCAGAACTTAGAAAATGACAAAGTCCTCAAACAGAACGAGCTGAAGTATGCTAGGAAGGATATCCATTTGCATGCTCAATAGGAAAAACATATAAGCTCCTATTGCTAGAAAGTAAGAACAATTCAGAGAAATGGTTACTAAGTTTACTGCCAATGTACAGAGGGTACCACAGAGAATAAAAAACAAAATAACCGAAGGCATAACTAGTAAGAGACTCAAAAACCAGTTAATCTAATCATTTATCTTCTGTTATTAAATGTCTTTCAAAATGGTTGGTACCCAGATAGCGCAATGCATTGTTGACGATCCTGGGTCTGTCTATTGCAACCAAGCCTGGGCAGGGATATATGGCCAAGGGCGATTGATGTTGCTTACTCTCTGAGAGGAGGACAGGGGAGCCAAGGGCTCAGGGTTTCTGTAGAAACTCCCCTCTTCTGTGGTTCTTCCCACCAGTGACCTGAATTGGTACATGCTTGAAGCAGGTCTGTAGAAACTAAAATCAATTCCATTTTGAAGTAATGACTTTTGAAAGGTGGGTCGTTCTGGGCTCAAAGTATAGCTTTTTAATGGCGTCTTAACAATCCTTTAAGAATGTGCTGCTGGTTAGGGCAAAAGAGTGGTGCCATCATCTCTTCAACTAAAAGGCAAAATATTTTTTTGTAGAAATAAAGCGGATTAAGTCTTCATTTTGTAGAGTGATATTTTCCAGTCGTTCCGATGTAGCTCATGCGTAAGTGCCAGGACTCCGTTTGCTGCCTGTAAATTAGAAGAGCTATTACTCTCCTCTGACAGTGTGGGATTATGAGACTGGTCACAGCAAAATTCTACGGATCAATGCTTTCACATTGTCTATTATTCAGCTCAGTTTCTCAAGCTGCAGAGAAAAACTCTCTCATGGACATCTCAATAACACAATGTATGTATCAGTTCATGAAAGACGGACCCGAGGTAGTGTGAAAGGTACACTAAGCAATGACATCTGCGATGGGAATTCGCACACTCCTTCTCTCTCCTGAGTCTCTTCATTTAGCGTCATTAGTTTGTAGTATATTATTTGTATTTATCATAGTATAGCACTGTATTTATTACTACTTTTCTTAAAGACCACTGGTCTATTCTGTTTTGTGATCCACTCAATAAGACCACAGCTATTCCACTACCATATACTTTAAATCCTGTGGACATGGATCTCCTTAGTTTTTCAATGATAACAAATCTGCCCAGACACATACTTTTGATAATGTTCAATGCTGAGGTTTGTTTAAAGAAATAACCATTTCCAGTGATTCTTCCAAATCTACTAAATTAAGTAATGGCTGAATAGAAATGCTTTTCTGGACTTGTAAATGAGGAAATATGCCCTTAAGAAGGACAGTATCATTTCCTGACAACAATCAAATGTATAAACACAAATATATTTTCTGATAAAAGATACTCTGGGAATCTTTCAATCCTTTTCATAACTGAGCTATATATGGACCAATGATTCTGAAAAGAAAAGATTCATTAGTGATGAAATGTATCATATAAATACAGGCAACTTATAAAAGTTTGTAACCACCTAATTTGGAAGCAAATTATCACAGTAAAAATAAGTTTTTGAAGTTTTATTTTGCTTTTAGTGGCTGACTTTTCCTTTCAATTATATAAATTGTAATACGAACATCATTGTTTAACTACAAATTATTTATTACTGGACTAATGAGAAATTATAGTAATACAACATTTTGCTTATTATTATATAATAGTTTTAGCTTAGTATTTTGTATGTACTTTTTCCAAATAGATTGTCAGTAAATTGTTCAATCCCCCTTTTTTTGAGTAAAGAACAGCAGCAGCAATGTTGGTAAGATGGATTTGCCTTAATACAATCTCTCTCTCCACACACATACACACACACTTATATTGTTCCTCAAATTCAAAATTTTTTAATCACCCAAGCAGCTTATTTATGCTTTCTTATAGTGGACCATTTGTATTTGTTACAGTTTATGATTGTCTAGGATGTAGGATGTTGAGCACGTATTGGACTTTTAACAGATAGGTCCAAAGTTCCAGCCCACCAGCTGCTCTGAGAGAGCAAATTGAGGTCATCTACTCTTGCAGAGATTTAGGGTCTCTGAAATCACATATCTGGTCTCTGTGAGTTAGAACTGACCCAATGACAGGGTTAGGAAGCAGATCAGGGGTACCGGCAGTACGGTGGATTATGCACCCGGCTGCTAGACTAAAAAAGGTCAGTAGTAAAACCCACGAGCCTCTCCACAGGTGAAATATAAGGCAGCCTGCCTCCATAATGCTTTTCCACCTCCATAAACATAGGTTTGGGAAGGAAAAGGATATGTACCAATGAATAATTGTTGTCTACTAAAACCTCCTGGAGTTGAATCAGAGATTAAATATGATTGTTTAACGGCTTCGCATGACCCAAGCACTAGCTAACAACAAATATCCATTCTCATCGTCAGTGGCACAATGATGGAGCACTCGGTTGCCAAGTGAAAGGTTGGTGGTTTGAGCACATCCAGTACTCTGCCTAGAAAGACCTGGCAAACGGCACCCTTACAGATAGATCCCTATGATCCCCTGAGGACAAGTTCTACTCTCTAGGGTTGCCAGCAAAGTCATTTTCAATGGCAACTCCAGAATGTTCATGTGAGTTAACTTAAGGATCATCAATCTGATTGGAAGGTATAGTAAGAATATTTCTCTTCTGGTTTTGATTTTCATAGCAAGCACATTGCTGTTGGGGGTTGGGGTGGACTGGGATTGTCCATTGATCGGAAAGATAGGAATAGAGTTGACAGAAATGATGGAGGGAGTGGTAAATGCTTGCCCACAGGTTACACTAGTGTCACCCCATGATGACTAAAGAAAGACTTCTGTTTGGGGAAGGGAGAGTCAGCCTGTCATTTTTGTTAATGATGTATAAGAGGCATGCCTCCCGTAGGCTAAAGCAAAGAGTCAACCTGCTATTTTTGTTAATGATGTACAAGAGGCATGGCTCCCATAGGCTAAAGCAAAGAGTCAACCTGCCATTTTTGTTAATGATGTACAAGAGGCATGCCTCCCGTAGGCTAAAGCGAAGAGATCGGAACCACCTCTGCAACTTTGCCAGAAACTTAGATCTGGTTCACATTTACCTGTTTGTTTTTCCTCTAAACCCAGAGAGTTTGGGATTTACCCTATTGAAAACGATGTTTTTCAGTTTCTTTTATTGCTCTTTTCAGGCTTTCACTCTTAACTTCCTATCAGTCACCAGAGCACCGACATCTCTCATTTAGGGGGCATACAGCTGGCCCTGGGTCCCACACGTCTTCCAAGTGTTTATGCAACAATCCTAGCTTTATACCAGCATGCTATCATTTACTGATTCATCCACATCAACTTCTATTTTTAAATTAGCATACTTGAATCTATTTCAACTATATTTTCCTGTTGTTTTTAGCTCTCTTTTTACTTCCTGTTGTTGACATTAATAATTGGTAACTTGCATAGGCTTTTTCCATTTACTTGTTTCCTTAATAGAAGTTTGCAAACTTCAATCACCATAAATCCGCACCATTTTTTTTTTGCATCTCTACAATTTTTCCTAGTCACTAGCAGACAAATCTATGTATTAGTTATTTAAAAAATAATTAACTGGAAATTAATAAGTCAGAATTTTAAATAAAAGCTATAGTGCCACTTTTCTTCAATTCTCCCAGGACTAACAGTGTCTTCATTTGTGTTTTTATTTACATTATACCATGCACATAAACTGTTGGAGCATTTAAAAAGGATAGCTTTGTAGGCATGTCCAGAAATATTTATGATTTAACTGAATTTGTACCTCCTCTCTGATGAAAAGAAAACAAGAAATTTATACATGAAGGTTAATGTATCGATAGATTTATCTAGACATACTTACTTATTTCACTTTCTTTGATTTGCACGCACAGTACGAAATCATAAAGGCAACAAACATCACCACGCCAACAACAAGCAAGACCATTTCAACCATTCCCAGCATGTTGATTTTTCCGGTCACTTTATTTCTAAACATTTCTGCTTTCTCATCACCGATGGTGCCAGTCTGTAATCAAGTTAATAATTAGTGGTCCCATGGGAAGGGGAGGGAAGAAATACAGCCAAAGTTTCCAAATACCCCCAAACACCTGCTTATGTGTTAGTCACCTACATATATAAAACAAAACAATGAAATCCACCTGGTATGCTTAAGAATGCAAACCACCCCACTGAGATGAAGTATTTAGAAAACAGTAACCGCTGACTTATTAAATACATTAGATAGCAATTTTCAATATTGTAGGCATCATTTCAAAAGCATGTCTCTGAAATGTTTTACAAATTTCTACACACAAAACCATGTTCCTGTAATGCCACTCAGTGCCATCGAGTCAATGCTGGCTCACAAAGAGACCGACCGCTGTGGATTTCCAACACTGAAACCTTTACGGGAGAAGAAAGCGCAGTCTTTCTCCAGCGAAGCTACTGGTGCTTTGAACTGCCGACCACGAAGATCACAGCCCAACCCAACGTATGACCACTACGTTTTACTCCTACACTACCAGGTCTCCTCTAGGGGAAAGCCAAATTCCATAGGTTCGGTTCCTGTAAAGTGTATGCAGTGAATTTCTTAATTCTGTGGCTAGTCAAGTCAGTGTTTACCCCCAAAATACCTAGCCAGGCAAGAGAATAGAGCAGCTAGGTCTAAATTACCTGATCTTTATAAGCTTAGTATAGGTCTATTTTATTGTTAGGTGCTGTAAAATAGATTCCTATCCATAGTGACCTCAAATGACAGAGTAGACTTGTCCCATAGGGTTTTCTTGAATGTATACCAACTCCTCACTATCTTGTTATCTGACATTGCACATTATTACAATATTAAAAAATTATGATCCAACTATTTTGTACATATATGTAAAATGTATAATATGTAACAAATGCTGAGGTGTGAGGTAAGGGTTGACAGTGATAGTGAAAGATTTATGTCATTTTGGCTAGCCCACGCCAAAACCTACACCAAACTCCAGCCCACCACCATACAGTCCGTTCTGACACCTTAAAGGGCAGAGTAGAAATGCTCCCTAGGGGTACCTACACTGTAAATCTTTACAGAGGAGGGTTTACTGAGTTTCAACCGCTGAAGTTGTGGTTAGCATCCCCCTGTTAGGCAATGATGTAAGCTGGCAGTTAGATGGTGATGTCATCATCCTCCATTTTTGCATAGTGTCCTAGGGATGTTTATAAGTGAGGAGTGGATGTAGATCTTTCTCTTTATAAAAACATTTTATTTCACTTTTTATGGTTGTTGTTAAAAATACACACAGGCAAATCAATTTACCTGGTTCTGCATGCACAATTAAGTAATACTGATAACATCTTTTAGGTTGTGCAATCATTCTCTCCCCCCTTTAAGAACTGTTCCTTCCCCATGAACATAAACTGTCTGACCACTAAGCCTCTGATCTACATTCCAGGTTAGTTTTGTCAGGTTTATCCTCTATAGTCCTTTGAAAGAGCACAGTAATCCAGGAAAACGTGTCTGAATAATAAAACGAACCTGTTGCTTGCTTAAGGAGCCCTGGCTGTGCAGGGGTGAAGCCAGCCTGCAGGTTAGTGACTTGGCCTGAGCAGCCAGCCTGCGGGAGAAAGATGTGGAGGTCTGCTTGCGTATAGACAGACGGCCACGTGAACCCATGAGGCAGTTTCTCTGTCTTACAGAGTCACTGAGAGTCAGAATCGGCTCCATCACGTTGGGTATTTTTTTATTTAAAAAAGATTTCAGAGGATATTTTTGGTTTGGGAAGCTGAAGGCAGATCTTTTTCTTATGGAGAAGTGGAATGAGTATGAATCTCTAATAGTTTCGTGTTCAACCCAGCGATGAACAATTGTTCCATCAGTAGGGTTTTATTAGAACTCTAATGTTCACTTTTATTAAAATACAGTTTTATTATTAAAGAAACGATGGTGGCCTAGGGCTTACACATTGGTCTGTAACTGCAAGATCAACAGTTCAAAAGCATCAACCCCTCAGAAGGAGAAAGGGCGTTTTACTCCTGTAAATAGCTCCTGTCTTGGAAACTCCCAGGGGTGGTTCTAGCCTGCTCTATTGGGTCACCAAGAGCTGACATTGACTTGATGACAGTGAGCTTGTCTGTGGCATAACATTCACTGGATTTTGACTTGTTTGACATGACAAGCATGCCTATCTTTTCCCTGAGAAAACAAGAATGCCAAGAAAATTGTTTAACAGATATATTTTGAAAAGAATCTTAAGTGAAAGGAAGTGCCTTAGTTTTCTAGAAGATAAAAGTGAGCCCTAACACAATTTGGTATTTATGCATTAACCCATCGATACTTACTCGTGCACAACAAAAGTACATAAAAAGGCCTTCGAAAAGGTGTGGGAAAATGCTATTATTGTCAAACTCCATTTTTCCATGAATTTGTGGAAGGCCCTGGTATGGCTTCAGACACTATGCATACATAGACTACTTTGAAATATCAAGAGTATTTCTAAAGACAATCATGTTTACGGCTTTAAAGATCAACAGATGAAAACACTAACCTCGTTAAGCCAAAGGATAGGCACAAGGTAGTTGTGCTTCAGACGTTTCAATGCACTGTAAACAGTCATGGAAAAAAATTATGGAGAGATATATACATAAGTATATAAAAGAGATTTTGCTAATCTTTATGGTAAACATGTATTTAGAAATTATCCCTTCTTGATAATTATTTCATGATTTTTTTCCTGTAATGGGCAATTTAAATGTAAATATTCTATAAGTTTATGTAAATAGCATGTACATTATATATATATTTATTATTTATATATATAATATATATTACAGGCAACATAACCCCTCAGACATTAGTTTCTATGTGAGTCATTTGTGGGTGCATAAAATATGAAACTATTGCTCTGTCTTATTTTTGTGCATGTTATTATCTCTGCAGGTCTGTCTAAATAAGATAGGTTGGATGAACAATCTGGAGGAGAAAACAATGGGA